TAAACGATTAAATATAATCTATATCATTTGTTATTTACTCGAAAACAATTTTTCTTTTATCACTAGCTAGATCTATGAACTTTATTTATAAATAACTTATTTTTTACTTAAATTATAAATATTTTTTTCATAAACTTATGTTTACTTCATTATTTGAATTTGAAAAGTTTAACACGTTTAAAATGTTAACGTATAAACAGTATTAATAAATTCATGTTGTTTATTTATATTTATGCTAATTAACGTATGCTAAAAATATGTAAAAATAGATATTAAAAGTTTATTAACCCCGTTTTACATAATTTAATATACGTCAATTGTTTTTTCATAAATCGCACTATATAACTTAAAATAAACTAAATTAAATCTCATTTACCTAGCTCAAACGTGTATAATCTAGCTAAAATTGCAATAGTCTGGTGAAATATACAGTAAACATAGGGATAACATACGATGCAATTTGTTTGTTATTGACATTAATTTAATTAAAAGTGAATTGCATTACAACAGCATTACTTCAATACAGTGATAAAATAACATGTTTAATTTAATCAATCACTATAATCAATATATACTCATTTATAGCCGATCTGGTTTGAACTAGTTTTAAATATTTCCACCAACATCACTAACTAGGGCGTCTCAATGGCTCCGATCATTTTCGTAGAAAAATAATTAATATAAATAATAATCAGAAATTTTAATTTGCGATTAAATTTTTTTTATCATTATGCAACTAATCACATAAAATATTATATAATTGATATTATATAATTGTGACAGAATAACAATTTTAAAATTATAAAATTTAATGATGATTGAATAAGTTCTAGCAATACAAATAAAATGTTATTATTATAAATAAAGTAAAAAATGCTTTTATAAATTGAATTAACAATTTGTAATAAAAAATACACGTAAATTAATCTACATTAAATAATAATAAATTACCATAATTAATTACAATCTGCACATGATTGAATAAAACACTCTTTTGCCTGCTTATATCATAATAGATGTATCACCCATATGATATGAGGAATTCATATAAATCACCTAGGCAAAACAAAATCACCCAGACCTTATTTATAATTATAGTTAGCGTATCTATTTTGACGCCACTTGATCACAAAGAAAACGATCACGCCAATAATTAATAAACCACCAATCACGATCAAGGTAATTGACCACCATCGTAGGGCGCAGGAGGCACTGTACCGACCATGGTAATAGCACAGGGACTTGATCCGGGTCTCGGTGTCCGACTCAAGCCATGAGGCATATGTGTTATCACAGCGTTTGGCAATTTTGAGCTGACACTTTAGGGACTGCCATTGATAGCAACAATAACGCCTACCCGTGTATTCCTGTGAGCAGGGTAATATTGGGTTTTTAAAAATAATAAAATAATACTTTGGTAGTTTTTGTATTTAATAAATGCTCTCTCTCTCTCTCTCTCTCGCAAATAACAAATTATTTTGAAACAATGATGGTAGACAACAAACCTGAGGCACCTCGCTGATATCCCAGTCATCGGCCGCGTATTGGTCGCACTGATACATACGCTCCTTATCCCTATTGGAGCACATGTTATAGAGGGGCCGATTGTTGTACTGTAATAGCCGTCGCAATAGTTGTCCGCCTGGCCCTGATGCTGAATTATTACCATGCTCATCATCACCAGTAACACTCGCGGTCAATACAAATAGTAAGCCTACCATCACGATCAATGTGTGATTAATATTGTTGGTACATTTTAAACTAGCCATAATTAATTAATTCTCTAATATAATAGTCAAGAAAATTAATAAATGTAAAAATAATTTTTTATGTCAAACAATAGTTAAGAAAAGTATCAAACTAGTTCACTTGCATTCTGTTAGAAATATAATATATAGATTATTTAAATATTAAATAAAAGCAACATTTTTATCGCAATAAAACAATTTTATTTGTTGTAGTGATTAATGTAAAGTTAAAGCGAATCGGAAATACTTCTTATATTATGACAACAATAAATAATTAATTTAGAAAATGCATAAAAATAGTTTTATGACAATAAGAAACTATTAAATGTGTTGCTGAGTTACACCAGGGTTGTCCTGTTAACAATAAATTACTATAGTATATTAATGTTGTCATAGTATTTAGTTTATTTATATTAAATTAGGCTTAGTCTTAGCCTAGTTTAATCAGGCTTAGGCTTAGGCTTTGTTAGTTAGAAATACTGTAATAAATTATTAAAGGCACTAATAGGTACTTATAGGCAATAATAATGAAACACTTTATGAAAGGATTGGCGGACAGTCGGTTATGACCAGCCATTTGTTGAAACGATTAACACATTTGCATATACATATAAATATATATATAAATATATGCAAATGTGTTAATCGTTCAGCGAATGGCTGGTCATAACCGACTGTTCGGCAATCGTTTTATAAACTTTCAGTATTTAACATGATAAGATTTTCATTATTATTATACACTTAACATTACGAATAAAGTTCATACTGTCTATGCGCTTATAATGAATTAAAGTTTATCTGGTGATTTTATTTTAATCAAGTAATTAGTAAATTAAATAGATATTTTAACTAAATATTATGGTAAATAATTTTATAACCATATTCTAATAATTAAGATTCTAATTTATAATTTCTAATTTGTTATCATAAATATATCATTGTAAAAATATATGAACATAATTAACTCTAAAGCAAATAATTAACTAGACTAATTGTGCTTATGAAGCTTAATTAACAAAATGTATTTATAATTAATGAATAACATGTTTAATTGTATTAAATTAACATTAATCAGCTTTTTGAATCAAGCGCAATTAATAAATCGTACGTGTTCAATTCGCATCCCTAATACCACTACACTATAAACACCTGATACCCATCTAACAGACATGCGACTTTTACATAGTGCATACACAACGCAAATCCTATACAAACTGCATGTAATAAATAGTACCAAAACCAATGCCTAGAGTTAACCCAAAAACAGTGCATTTCATCACATAATGGGCAGCGAATAGCGCGTGATATTCATCAGACATTACACGTAAACAACACTGTATTTCATTGTATTATAAACTGATTGTGTGTTTCAATGACTAACACAACGCGTGATTTAATTACATTTAACTAAATTAAAAGTTATAATTAATTAATTAAAAGTGTGTTTAACATTAGAGAGGGGCAGCCGGACAGTCAACCCCCTCCGCACCCCCTCTACCACTTCAACCAAGTGTTAATTTGCGAGACAATCGCCACTAATAATAAACATGTGTTTTATATAAACAACAAAACAATTAAATTAATTGTTTAAAAAACTTTTTGTGTTAAAACTTTGTTCATTAACTCAAGTCTTTGTTGTCACAGCATTGGATCAATTGAAGTGACAATCAGTGACCATGTCTTCAGCGCCAGCACAGGCGCCACCAAAATCCCAGTCATCGATACTGTTATCCACGGCTAACCTCTCGTGGACACCGACCTCCGGAGCGGCGCTGTTGGCCGCCCCTCAACCCCCAGAAGTGGTCGCACCGCCGCCTACTGTCTCGTCGCCCGCGCCGTCTGACCACTCGTCCATCACTGGTCTTCAGCACCCGATGACAAATGAAGAGATCATACGATCGCTACGATTGCCTACCAGTGCTGTGGCGGACACCGAGTCTATCGATAGTCAGGCGCTGGAAGAGTCCTTTCAGACCATTAGTCTGGCCGATGGCCGCGCGGGTACACCCGTGGCTACCGGTGCCGCCGGTGGTGGCGATGATCTACTATCTGGCGAACAGTCGCCCATTGGGTCGACAGTGTCTTCCCTGTCGTCGGCGTCGGCGCTGAACCAAAAGCACCAGAAGTTGTCGTTCATTGAATCCCTGGCCACAGCTTTTCACAAGACGTCGCAAGTGTTGGCCGCCGGCAGCGGCGGCGGTAGTGGTGGTAGCGGTCAGACGGGCGCAGCTGCTGTTGGTGGTGGTGCTGATGGCCAACAGTCAATGGCCGGTGCGATACCTGATAATTATCAGCCCCCAGTGTCACAGTTTGTGCCCTCGCAATCACTACCACCACCACCTCCGCCACTGTCTGCGGCCGCCGTTCAGCCCCCGCCGCCGCCTCAACCCATGCCTGAGTCAGTGGTGGCCAAGGATTTTAAATTAAGAGGTTTTGCTATTTGTGTATAAGTTGTTTGTACTGTGTTTTTGATTGTGTCGTTAACTATTAGTTTTAATTAATTATAAGTTAAAGATTTTATTTAATTTCTTGTTTTGTAATTAAATATATTGTTTATATTAGTTATAAATTTAGTTAAATTAATAATTAGTTTTATTAATTAGCATTAATTTAGGAAATAATCGCCAATTAATTAATTGTTTGTTTGTTAATAATTGTTTACTATTTATTAATTAACTACTTTTAATCACATTTATTGCTTTCAAACGACAGGTCCGCTAAGACTATACGACCCAAACCACGGCATCTCTGAGCATAGCGGTGCCTCCGGCGGCCAACCCCTACCACCACAGCTACCACTACCGCCACTGCCATCATATATACCACAGGCCACTGATGACCAGTCACTACCGACACTGCCATTCCCACAGCCATCGGCCGCCGACACGCTCTACAACCCTAACGATTACTACGACAGCACAGCAGCGCCGGGCGGTCAGTCACCGGCACCACCTCTAGACATCTCCCAGTCATACACCGGACAGCCATACGACCTAACCTTTGGCGCAACACCACTACCACTGGACAACAGCGCCGCCGACAGCAGCAGCGCTACTACAGGCGACTACTCGTTCATAAGCCAACCCTCGGCTACAGTCAACCCATGGGAGACCGCACCTGACCCGACACAACAGCAGCCGTACACCGCACCACTGGACCAATTGGCCGGCACTGGTAGCGCCCAACAACCCTATCAGCCCTACACACCAGTACTGCACCACTGGTTTTACCAACAAATCGTCGAGAACCGGGAGGTGTGGCGGCCATTCTCGCTGTACGACTCCTATAATCTTGAACAGGCCGTACAGTACGGCCAGGATTACGGCCACGGAGGCTACGACGGGGCGACGACCCCAGCGGCGGTCATAGCCACCGATGGGGGCCGCTTCGACGTGTCGGTGCCCGAGCGGGTCCGCCGACCCGTGTATTGGTCAGAGCCGGACACGCTGTGCCGCCGCTGCTCATGGTTTTACCGCCGCGAGGGTCACAACCGGTGGATACCCTACACGGAAGAGGTGGCCGAACGGTTGGAGCAGAGGTACCGGGAGTCGGCCGCCGGGAACCGTTGGAACACACGGGTGGAGTTGGATGGCGGCCAGGAGGCGGTGGTGATGCACAGCCCGCTGTCGATATACCACTACCAGTTGGATCAGACAATGCCCGACGGGTGGGGACAAGCGGTGGAGAACCCGCAGCGACCACGAGTTGTGTGTAGGGCCGGCCCGGGAGAGGGCCTGTTTGATGATATCGATGAGGGTGAACCGGTACAGGTCGACCATCTGGTGTTCCTCATTCACGGTGTCGGCGAGATTTGCGATTTTAGGTATGACTTGCTTTCTCTCTCTCTCTCTCTCTCTCTCTCTCTCT